ACAACCCCAAAGGCCGGGAGGAGCCAGCGAGAGGGCCTGTTTCGGCGGCAGCCTGCATGCACGTCAGCATAAACCAGAAGTGCCCCCGCAGGCCATAATTTCACAAATGCTTCCAGCCAGCTATTGCTGGCGTTGCTGCCAAAAGTAACACAGCCTTGCCCTTCGGCCACACCAGCTGCTCATTCCGGGCCCCAGGCACCCCCTGTGCTGTGCTGGAGAAGATGTCTAACACAAAACTGACTGATAAATGTAGCTGGAGTTAAAAGCAGCTTTTTTTTTTTTTTTGCTTTTTTTTTTCCCCCCAGGTTTGTATTCCTCATCAGTAAGGCTTCTCTGAAGCCATGGTACCAAAGACCTGTCAGATTGTAACTGTCTCCTAGGGTGAAACACTAAGGAAAAGAGGTGAATCGAGGGCATTTTCCAGTCTTATCCTTGGCTGCAATTCTCCCTTTTACTTCCACGGAAGGAGGTTAAGGCTTCACGCCCCGTTGCGGAGGTGTCAGAGCGCACACCGAGTACACTCTGGCATCGGGAAAGCAACTTCTTGAAGCACGCTGCTTTATTCAGCTGTGCTGGTGCACGCACACCCTCAAATGAAGAGAGACGATCCGAGATGTATGGTGCAGTTGCTGTGGGGACCTAAATGCAGAAATAAATCTGCAAGAGCTTTGATGCCGATAGCAACTTGGTAAGAAGAAGCTGTAAGATAACACAAATAAAGGAACTATTTAAAACAGCTCCGTGTATCAAACACCTTCCTCATGTATAAACGTTTCACAACTATATCGTATCCGACTACATTTCTTTTCGACAGATACATCTGGACTGTATTAAACACTCCAAACGAGGGATGAGAGAAAGCAGTTTCTTGTTATTGTTCCATAAAAGCTACTTTTAATACGCATTGTAGAAATACCAGGCATTAAAAAACCATGAAGGATCGTCAGCGACTGAAATGATCAATTGCTGTTTTGAGGACTGAATTTCAGAGACTGCCTTGATACCTGCAGGGTCTCTGATGACTATTTTAGCAGTATGGAAAAGCTCTGCAGTTTTACATCCAGAACTTTGACCCACGCAGTTAATTAATATTCAGCACTTTGCCAGATTTTCCTGCGAGGGGGGGAATTGAAGATGAATTCCGTTATCTCCTTAGTGTAATCCTATTTATTTACAAAGAATGTACAGCCACGTCCCGTTTCCTCGCACGCAGAGGAAGCAAATGGGAGGGAGCGCTGCGCGGCAGTCCAAGTTTGCTGCTCTAGCCAGGATGCCTGCCCAGAAGAAGCTGTCCCTTGGCTTTTTCTCAGGGCCATGCACCACTGCTTCTCCCACTGTCTGCTGGCTCTCGCGTGGTGTTTCCGGTCCCGGACATGCACACAGGCAAACACAGCTGCAACCAATCTGCGCTCTTGCTGCCGCGTTCGCAAGCAGTCCCTAGGGAAATCTCTCTGACTTTCCCCAAATTAGTGCTTGCTCATACGAGTTAGCTCATCTCAGTGCTTGGCCATGTAGCCCTGTGCCGTGGGCAGCGGTTTCTAATTTTCAGCTATCTTACGCCATGAAAGAACTTAATTGCTCCTTCCTGAACAAAGCACGGCCGGCATGCCTGTCAGTTTTTAATGAGGTTTGTGACTGCCTATAGATCAAAGCTGTGCTCCAGTGGGTTTCGCTTATATTGCATAAAGAGGAAAGGAGAAGTGACCTCCAAAGTAAATAGAAGAGCGGGGAACAAAATTAATTTTCATATACAATTTCTTCTCTGACTTGGCAAGCGTCAGATTAACTGTATAAAACAGAAGACGTCCTACAGAATGTTAATCCTCACAAGAACACGTTATAATGAAGATTTCAAAAGTACAAGCACAACCTGTTTTTCATCTGAGACCTTGTCTGTATCATCTTCCAAACCACAGGCCTGACCCTGGGAGTGGAAGGACTGCATTCAGTAAACAAACCTTGACTTTCCAGTCCTGCACCATCGTTTACTTCTGTGCAAGTTGCATGGAGACATTACTAAATCCATTCCAGCGCATTTAATAACTACTTTTTTCATTGGTTTTCACAGGTGTAAACGCCTCCACAAAGCTCATGGCAGCAGAGAAGCAAGTCCCAGCAGTTTTTACTAACAGAGCAAAGAGGAATTGTTTTTCTGAGAACTGATTAGTCATGTTGTATTACATGCTGTAACAGCGGGAGAGAGTTCCCCTCTCTCCCACGAATTTGGCGTTATCAGGCAACCTTTCTGAAACATACTTGTCTGCAGCCAGCAGATCTACTTCGCAGGGCTGACGAGAGACAGTTGTGTTTTGTGAATGAAGCCCTGAGCTAGAGAACAAAA